TGGTTCTCTAGTCCGGGAGGCTGAGCTCTGTGGACAAGGTCAGAGGTTCTCAAACATGAACGGGCATCAGTGTCACCTGGAGAGCTTTGAGAAACACAGCTGGCTGGGCCTCCCCCCAGGATTTGATACAGGAGGTTTGGGTGGGGCCCAAGAACGAGCATTTCCAGGTGACGCCGGTGCTGCTGCTCTGGGGCCCACACTGTGGGAGGCACTGGATGCGGTCTGCTGATTCCTTGTCCTCTGGCTCCTGGTGGGGTTTAGCCAATGGAAAGCACAGGCAGCAGGTGGGACAAAGAGAAAGGTGTGCATCAAGGTACTTCCTCCTTCTGCTCCCTTGGTGGGTCCCCATGCACACGATCGAGTCATGCTTCTCTGGGCCCTGGTGGCCTCTCCTTGCTGAGTCCTCTGGCCTGTGCGTAGTATTAGCCCCAGGGTGCTTCACTGTTCCTGCGTCTCCCTGCACGTAGTGTGCACCTTTGTAAAAACTCACGTCATTAAGTCTCCCCAAACCCCCTTATTTGAGGGTCCCATCTGTTTCCTGGTGGGACCCTGCCTGATTCCGGAAGGGAAGCCTCATTTTGTAAAATCTGCAACCCCCAAGATCACTTCCTCTCCTGGGTGTAATTTCCTGTTCTAGAACTGCCCCATGGGGAATGCTCTGGTGTTCTTGAAATTTCCTCTTGTTCACAGTCCCGCCCAGAGCTACTTGAAAGCAAAGAGCCCTCTGTTCTGTTTTCCCCATTCATTTCCCTCCCTTTCACTTCCTTTTCATTCCCAGGCCCTGGAAACCACACAGTCTCTATTACTAACTTCTAAACAGAATCTTGTGGAAGAAAGGGCTTATTTGGCCAAGGTTTCTCTTTCATTGTTTCATTTTGCAGGCAGTGCCCTGCCCCCTTCTCTTTCCTGCTAATCTTTCCGTTCTCCTGGGCTGGGCCTTGTCCTCCACTCCAGCCCCTCTGGCTTCCCTAAGATGCTAATCACACCTGGTTTTCCTCTTGTGCCAGGAATAGTTCTAATTATCAAGCCTGGGCAGACTTTGCCTTCGGGAGGGACACCTCCAAGGGCAGGAAGACTTCCTGTTCCTCAGGCTGTTTCTCTTTACCGTTCTCATGGCAACTCCAGGACTTCTCTTTTCTTCCTCGGTTCCCTGTAGGTCTTGCACGGCTTTAAAACCCACTGGTTACTTTGGCACTGTCCCTGCTTCAGCCCTGATTGGTTGCCGAATCATGGACCCTTAAACTAGAAAGGATACTCGGGTTTATTTAAGCCCAGCCAGGTGGTGTCATGAGGTGTATGAATTCCCTCTGCCTCCGTCTGGGTTTCCCCAGAAGTAGATGTAAGATGAGGATTGCAGTGCAAGGAGTTGATATAGGAGGAGAGGGGTCACCTGGGGGGAGGGGGCAGGGAGAAGCCAGATAGAGTGAGTTTTCAAGGCCATTCCTACCGTGGGCAACTGCAGCCACCTCCCCCGGGATTCAGGAAAAGGTATGAAATACACACCTAGGTGAGGAGCTGGGCTATTTCATGGTCCAGGGGGAAACTGCCTTGTGTTTGGACAGAGCATCCTTCCCAGCTTTGGAGAAAGTCCTCAGGCAAAGAGACGAAGACATGAGGGCAGGATGAGGGCAAAGCAAGGGAGGCGGACACTTAAGGGAGGCGCTTGCTCTCAGGGTTGTGCAGGTGCAGGGTCAACGACTAAGAGGGAGGAACTTCTTTGAATGTTGCAGACTGGGTGGCTCGCCCGCCTTACCCTCATCCTGGCCCTGGATGCTGGTACTGCCAGCTGGCATCGCTGCACAGGGAGGTTGTGAGGCCGTGGGGTGTGGGTGGGACTCAGCACCTTCTGCACCCCAGTGGCAGAAGTCTAACCCCTTCGTTGTTCTCCCTGCTGCCTGGGATCCAGCCCCTGTTCTGCTCATTTAGGTTCACTGCCCTCTTCATCACTAAGAGACATTACTTGGATGTCACTCGGAGAATCATCTTGATCCCACCTTCCTCCATCCATCCTTTTGGGTGTTCTCTATTTCATTTGGGAAGCCAGAGGGAGAGACCCACGGTTCAAGGGCTGTGGGGTCTTGCGGAGAATCTGTGTTTCCCAACATTCATTCCTATTTACTGAGCACCAACTATATGGCAGTTTTGGGGACACAAGCACAAGACAGTCGTGGTCCTGCTGTCACAGAGCATCTACTTTTGTGAGGGAGTCAGGCAGTCAACTGAGAGTCATGCAAATGCCTCCAGCCACAGTGATGAGGAGAGTTAAGGAAAAGTGCTCTAGGAGTGAATACTGGGGTTGTGTGCATATTCAGAAGATCTGAAGGATTCCCCGAGGAAGTGGCGACTGAGCTAAGATCTAAAGAAAAAGTAGAATTAGTAGAAGAGAGGAGGAAAAGGCACTTTGATAGTGAGAACAAATGTTCAAGGCCCTGTGGCATAGATGATCCTGGAAAGCTCCAGGGGCTGAAGGAAGGCCAGTGTAGCTTGTAGAGGAGACCATTATGAAGAGGACACAGTGGGAAACGAGACCTGAGAGGCGGCTAAGAGACTCTGGACAAGGCGTGTTCATGAGCAAAGGGCAAAGTTTTCAGTAGGAAGATGACATGATCCAATTCAGGTCCCTCTGGCTTTTGTCAGGATCAGATAGGTAGACAGTTGGGGACAAAAATGGATATGGAGCAACCAAGAAGGAGGCCAGGCAGAGACCAGGGGAGAGCTGGTGATGGCGTGGGCAAAGGTGCTGAGAGCAGAGGGTGATCAGTGGGGTCTGGAGAGATACATAGCTTTGCGTGGCCCCTCATCCTTGGCCCCCACAGGCTTTGGCCCTGATACCTGACCCAGCCTGGGTATCCCTGTCTCTCAGGAAGGTAGGGTCTCTTGTCTGTGCACTAGTCATCTATTTTTTCTTATCTGCCCAATACCTCTGGGAGGAAAACATCCTTATACCCATTTTGCAGACAGAAGATTAAAGCTTAGAGTGATCACATAATGTCTCACAGCCTATAATTTAGTGGCCATATCTGGACTCACAATCTAATAGGGGCAACAGACATGTGACCAGGTATTTTAGGACTTGGTCCTCGAGCAGAGGATGGTTGGAGTGAGCAGCCATGTGTGCCCCAAATGGGAGCCCCCTGGGAGCAGAGGCCCAGGGTCCCACAGGGCCTGGCTCATAGGATGCCCAGACATCATAGGTCGCAACACACATTTCCTGATTGTTTGAATATCTCTTTCCAATGCTTCGCCTGCAAGAAATCTTGCTGTCTGCATTACTATCATCCAACAGACAAATTACAAATGTTTTTGATTAGTTCTGCCATTCATAGCCCATTCCTAAATCAGCACAGGAAACAGCTAAGCTGAAACTTCTGCCTCCATCTTCCTCAACAAGCTGCCTGTATCTTACGCTTTTCTCCCTCCAAGCTTTTTCTTAGGCAATGTCTAGACAGTTAACAAAACACTGAGCTGTGCTAGAAATAATCTGTTCTTCACGATCTTTTTTTTCTTTTTCTGTTTGGATGAGCTGGGTTACTCTAAGAGCTGGGACCAAGGAATGCTATGCACCTTGGTGAGATGTCAAAGGTCCAGGTTGGCTACACCGTGGCAGACAAAGGCTGCTGCAGACTTCTGTTCTAATGAGAATATGTACTCAGCATTTTGCACAAGGTAACTTTGTCCTCTCTGTACCTGTTGCGTGGAAGGCTGCACACACCAATGTTTGACAGTGACCATACTTGTGTGTGACCTGATATTTAGTTATATGGAAGCCTGTCTCTCTCCCTCTTCTCTAGGAACTCCACCATGTACCGTCACACACAAGTATTGTTACTGACTTTGTTCAGGCCTCACCATCCCTTGCTGGGACCAGTGCAGTCGCCTCTTGACTGCTCCCTCTGTTTCCTGCCTCTCCCAATCTAATCTACCCTCCCAATCATCTACCCGATAGATCTTTCCAAAATGGACATCTGATCATGCCTCCCTCCCCAACTGGCTTATTCCATGAGCCACATGGGTAGTCAGTGAATTCTGGTTAAAATGTGGTGGGATGATACATCCACCACACTGCTTATCCATCCACACTGCTTATCCGTGACTCTGAGAAATTAACTCCATGCTATGAGGAGGAGGATGTTGGGCACTAAGGCCAAGGGTCCCATGTACCTTCTTTCAATGACCCTATCTCTGTTATTATCATCATTTTGAAGGTGAGGAAGTGAAGCTCGGAGAGGCCAGGAAACCTGCTCCGGGTCCCAGAGCCGGGACAGAAGCCAGGCAGTTTTTTTCTGCAGAGGCTCCAACCACTCTGCACCACATCCCGTCAGGGCTGCCTAGAGCTCATTGCCAAGCAAAGCAATGTCCTTCCATGCCTCCCTGAGCTCCACACAAAACATGCCTGCCCCCTGCAGGCTCAGTGCCAAGAAATGCCTGTGCCAATGCAGCCCTGAGCAGCAGGCACTCACCTTAGAGCCTCTGCCCCACTGGCGGTGGGGTCTGGCAGAAGTCATGATGCCCTAAGCTCAGAGCTTCTGGCTCCTTCCGGGCATCAAGCCTTGCTTGGGACTCTGCCTTCTGAGAGGAGCACTATTCTCTCACCTGGGTGTCCTCAGTCCCTCCCTCACGGGCTGGATCTTGCTAGTACCCCGAGTGACTTATAAGGTGGTACTCTGCACTAGAAGAACTGCTGGGAACAGGAAGGATTCCTTTGCCTGGGCTTCCTTCCCAACCTGAGCAATTCTTGAGCAATGGGCAATGCCAGGCCAGACGCAGCTTCCAGAGGCTTCCTGGATCTACTCTGCTTGGATCCAGCTTCCCACCTGCCTCCTGGGCCTGAGGTCAGCCATGCTCTGTCACCCAGGCTGAAATACAGCTCCCAGCTTGGCATGTTGACCCAAAGCTGGAAACACCAAGGATAACTTGACAACAAACTCTAGGTAAATAACAGTAATGGTTTGGTTTCCTCTGTGTCCCCAAAGCCTGGGACCTCCCAGAAGGGCACTTACAGGATATGATGTTTCCATATCGGTTCTTATTGCGATTTTCATCCTCCTTGGCTGTGTCCCATGAAGCAGTCTGCCCCTCTGGTAAGGCCTACAAAGGAAGGACAGAGTGGTTAGGATGGCCAGAGATAGAAGCACTATGCAGGTGAAGATGAACCAGTGGGGAAATAGCACCGCTGTAGTGGGTCACTCAGCATAAAAGGCTGTGTGGTGGTGGGTGGGGCCTGGGAAGAACATAGACTGGGCCTCTCCATGGCCTTATTTACTCCTTCATTGGCTCAAATGCTATTGAGGTCTTCTGTGTGCTATGAGCCCAAATCTGGTCCAGGAGGGGAGTCATTCATTCATTCATTCATTCGACAGATATTTATTGTGTCCCTAATATGTGTTTGGCACTGTTCTATGTACTTGGGACACAGAGAAATAAACTAAGTGTCCCTTGAGCTTCCAGTCCACTGGGAGGTGTAGCAAATGAACCAGAAAACATGTAAGTTTAGATGGTGGAAAATGTTATGAAGAAAATGAAGCTTAGGGAAGGGATAGTATAGAGGATGAGGATTGTTTCAGATTACACAGTCTGGGAGGGCTTCTCTGAGAAGGTAACATCTAAGCTATGATGTGAAAAGCCACTCATACCAAGAAATGTAGGAAGCACTTTCTAGGCAGAGGGAACAGTAGATGCAAAGGTGCGAACAGTGGGGTCTGGAGAGATACATAGTTTTGCGTGGCCCCTCATCCAAGGACTACAATCAAGGATGAGGCAGGGAGAGCAGTGACAGAAGCACAGGAGAGGCTGGGAGAGTTAGGATTAGAGGGGGCACTGCGGTCACTGGTAACCAGCTGGGTGTTACTCTAAGTGTAATGGGAAACCATCAGAGGGTTTTGAGCAGGGGAGTTACCGGATATGATTTATGTTTTACAAAGTACATTCTGGCTCACATATGAAATACACGCTCAGGGAGATCAATTAAGAAGTTGTTGCAATAGTCCAGGTAAGAGATGATGGTACCTTGGGCCCTTGTACCAGGATGGCGGCAGTGGATGTGGTTCAGGAGCAGACTCACTGCTTTTGCAAGAAACAAGGATCTGAATATGAGACTCTATTTGGGAGGCAATCCCAATCTGAATATGAGAAGAGTCTGGGAAGTGAGCCAATCAAGGGAAGAAAGTCAACATAGGGTACATCAATGAACAGGTTACCACTGTGTGTGCCTGGGGCTTAATGCCACGGGCCCATTTCATTCTCCTAGCAGAGGGAGAAGGGAGTTGGGGTGTTTATCCACCAATTTCCATCTATCATTGTTGAGGACGACTCTTAGAAACTCCCTTAACGCTCTCTGTGCTCCGTAGGCAGGGTGTGCACATTCTTTTGTGCTGAGGAAGTCCTCAGGCAAAAAGTCACAGGTGCTTCCAGGAGGCAGGCACTGGGGACACTGTGTGGAGGGGATATGGGCAGGTCACCAACATATCCACTGATGATGTGGACTTGAAGGAGAGAGGGATGAAGGCTGAGGCCCAGACTGTTGGCTCGGAGAACTGAGTGGAGAGCCATGACAGTCACTGAGATAGAGAAGAAATAGCTAGGGAGAAACAGGATTGGGAGGCAAGAAATAAGTGTGTTTTGGGTACATAAAGGGCTTAGAACAGTGCCTAGCCCTTGCTGAATACTATGTGCTTCTTAACATGTTCAAAACAATAAGAACAACAGTAGCGGCGGTGGCCACCTTTGAGATGACTATTCCACATCCAAGCGAAGATGTTGAGTAGGAAGTTGGACAAAGAGGTCAGAGTTTGGGGGAGGAAAGAGATGGGAGTCATCAGTTTAAGAGTAGAAAGACAAGTAATCGACCATATGGAATGACTGAACAGAGTTATGAGCCAAGTGTTATGGAAACACAGGAAGGGTATAGTTCAATGATGGCGAACCTATGACACGCATGTCAGAGGTGACACACAAACTCATTTTTTTTTGGTTTATTTTTCTTTGTTAAATGGCATTTAAATATATAAAATAAATATCAAAATATAAGTCTTTGTTTTACTATGGTTGCAAATATCAAAAAATTTCTATATGTGACACAGCACCAGAGTTAAGTTAGGGTTTCTCAAAATGCTGACACGCCAAGCTCAAAAGGTTCACCATCACTGGTATAGTTAATTATCTCAAAAAGAAGGAATCTGGGCATTTAAGGGAGCAGGGACAGCTTTAGCGAAGCTACAGAAGCATGAAGGTTGGGCAACACTTGGACTAGTGTTCCCACCCCCTGCTTGTGGCCCTTGCACTGCTTCTGGGATGGAATTTGCAGTATCTTCAGTCTACACAGGTCCTTGTTAGTAATGCAGGGCAAAGGAGCACCCACACACCTCAATACACCAGCCTTGCCTTTGCCTATCTATTCCTTGCTAGGTCCATCCCGAGCAAGGAGGAATCTGTATCCTGCTTGGTCAGAAATTCAGCCATTCAGCAGGCCATGTTTGACAGATAGGCAGGACCACTGACTATAAAAAGCCCAGCCCATGCATGATGCCCCCTTTCTTGCTTCTAGTCTCCCATGTGTTAAGCCAGCTTGGCTGGGTCATTTTTAGAGCAGAGGTGGGCAATTTTTTTCTATAATGGGCCAGATAGTACACGGCTTGGGTTCTGTTGTAATTACTCCTACTCAACTCCACTGTCATAGAGTAAAAGCACTTGCAGACAAAGTGCAAACAAATGGGCATGGCTTCATTCCAATAAAACTATATTCACAAACACAGGTGTTGGATTTAGCCTATGGCTGTCATTTGCTGACTTTTGTGCTAGTTCAGCGGTTCTCAACCTGTGGGTCATGACCCCTTTGGGGGTCGAACGACCCTTTCACAGGGGTCGCCTAAGACCATCGGAAAAACACATATATAATTACATATTGTTTTTGTGATTAATCACTATGCTTTAATTATGTTCAATTTGTAACAATGAAATTGGGGGTCACCACAACATGAGGAACTGTATTAAGGGGTCGCGGCATTAGGAAGGTTGAGAACCACTGCTCTAGAGGATGACCATGATCCTCAACTATGCAGCAGTTGGGTAGGTAGAATCGATGCCCATTCCAGATGGAATGGAGATGAGGTGGGAGGTTTCTGCCTGGGCTTCCTGAGCTAAGTTGTGTTCTCTAATTTAGCTTCCCCAGGGTTTTAGGTTGGGGTAATAGAGTGCCTTCCCAGCTATCAGGGGATCACCACTTTGTTGTGTGTCTGAAACCTTTAGACAGACATCCTGGGGGAGAAGTAAACTAGCAGTGTAGCTCTGGGCACCAATCTCTGCCTTAGATCCGAGTATGAGAAAAGTGCCATGGAGATAGTAACATGCTTATTTTACTGATGGAGGGCTTGCCTCCCCTGCCCTCTTCCTCTCCCTCATCCTCTTTTTGCTCCTCACTAGAGGGGACCACCACCCTGCATCCCTCTTGTCATCAGCACAGGCCATCTCTAGACTGCAAATGGCTCTTGCTTTTGCACGGAACTCTTAGAACCCAGATTCTAGGCCTTGGTCTCATCCTCCCACCGTAGCCTGGTGGCAACATCTGTTTCAGGCAACTTGCCAGGTCAACTTAGTATTCCTGGCTCTCTGCAAGGGTGTGGCAGGCTGTTCTCAGTGGCAGCACTGAACTTCTCAATGTTTCAGCTTATATTCTGGTGGTGATTTCCTATCTGAAACCCTCTGTGATAAAAGCCAACTGTAAACCCAAGGATACCCACCAAAGTGGCATGAAGACAAGAAGCGGACACTCCGAATGTTTACACACTAATTTTCTGGGGAAAATACCTGTTGGGTACCTACTATGTGCCAGGGTTCGGGTTACAGTTCACGTAAGGTTTTGTTATGCCTACACAGTAACATAATCTGGGGGAGCTTTAAAATTCCCAAAGCCATGGCCCTAGCCCAGACCAATGAAATCAGACTCTGGGGATGAGACGCGAGCATTGGTTATGTTTAAAGCTCATGGGTGAGTCTAATGTGCAGCCATGATTCTTGCAAAAAGTGAATTTACCTGGAGAAATACTTTCCCATGGGTCTCCTCACTGGCTTCTCTTGCTTTGGATCTGTCCCCTCCAATCCACTCTCCACTGTAATCAGAGAGATCTTTCTAAAATGTGAATAGGACCCAGTTACTCCCCGTGCCATGGTCTTCAGGGTAAGTTCCAAAGTCTTTAATCTAAGGTCCTTAATGACTTCACCCTGCATCGCCTCTGCAGCCTCAGTGCTTGCCCTTATATTAATATTCCAATGATAAGGAACGAAATGCAACACTGTAGACAATTTCAGGTGTTTCAAACTTCTGAGACTGACTTTACACATGTTGTTCCCTCTGCCTGAAATTCTCTTCCACCCGAGTCTACCTGGTAAACTTCTACATATCCTTCAAAACCCAGTTCAAGCATCTTCTCCTTTTTGAAACTTTCCCCATTCACCCTCCCACCACCCCACTGCATCCCCAACAACTTAGTCACTTTTTCTATTATTAGAGGGACTCTTCTACATCTAATAATTTGAATGTATTGTCTCCCAACTTGGTGATGGATTACTCCAGGGAAAGAATAGCATCTGTAACTCCAGAACCCAAGACTGGCTCTGTACTCCATATGTGCTTGAATCACCCCTTTTGAATAAATTAATGAATGGGTAGGTGGGTGGAACAATGAGTGGGTAAGGTGGCTCCTGTGCATGCAGAAGGCAGAGATCCTGGAATCTCAGAGGGGCAAGTGACTGGAAATCATCTGGTTGTGTTTCTATCCACAGTTGCCTTCTAGGCAGCTGATAAGCTGATCTATAGCATCTGCTACTTGGATACCCTTAGCAATGGGCAGCTCACTACCCAATAAAGCTTCCTGTCTCGCTTTTGGATGGACCCACTGGACAGTGTTTTGTTTATTCTGACCTTTGCCCTGCTCCCTGGGCACCCCCCTCCCGAATAAGCAAGTACCCTCTGTACCGCGACACTGCAGGGATTTGATAAATGTCCCTGTCCACCCCTGGAGTCCTTGAATGACACGCAGTTGGATGTCTTCTCAGCATCCGACCATGCTTTTCAGGATGCACCCAGCATGCGG